CACCAGGGAAGCCCTGTAATTTACTTTTAACTTACTTATTTCTCTCCATTATCTCCCTCACTCTTACTAAATTTCAAGCTCCATTAAAGATCTCGCGTATCTCCTTCACAGCAGTATCCTAAGGGTACAGAGAGGGCCTCAAAAAAGTCCTCCTGGATGAATAAATTAAAGAACAAGTGATAGTAATAACAATGACAACACCTGATTATGGTCTTACAGTCCTCAGTCAAGAACCATTTAGTAAATGGCACCCTATTTTTAGTTTTGTTCTAGTGATATGAATCATTAAAAGGAGGTGGAAAATATAAGATTATCTCATTCTCAAAGAATTTATCACCTAGCTTGCAATATAGGCATACTTGCAACAATGTAAACCTGACACAGAACAATCCATGCGCCTGCTCATGACCTCATTTTACCTATTACTTTTACTGTTCTGGGTTCTTTAAAGGAATTTTTAAATGTAATGCATCATACTGATCAAGGAACTCATAATTTGGAGGACCAAGACAGATAAGTACATATGAGGAATTATGAATGACAATATAAAGAATAGATAATTAGATTCAAAAAGTTCTCTAGACAACAAATATTAGGCTCCCAACTTTCCCTCTGAGACACAGTTTCCTCATGTGTAACAAGGTTATCGCAAAGATCAAAATACAAATTATATGAATGTCTTCTGTAAGCTGTAGATAACATTACAGATTCAATATATGGTAATATTAAAAATCAAAATAAGTTAAACAAGACACTCAGAAAGCACAAACATTGCATTATTCAAGGGCGTTGCCCTTGGTTTTTCATTGTTCTTACTTAATTTTAACTGCAATATTCTTAAACATGAAGGGGAACCTTTATCAGGCTTGTGGAACTAAGGAGCATTTCTTGGTCAAGAATACCTTTCCTTGTGGCTCACACATTTTCTTTCATTTAAACAAGCAAGTATTAAATACTATTTAGCACTGTGTGATGTGAGGTGGAGAATACAAAGTGAAATAAGATTCCTTTCCAGAAAGAAAGATGCAAGTTAAGAGATAAGATGCAAAACAAGTAACAAAACTGAAGCCTGGCTCCCCTGATGCCAATGGGAAGACATGGAGAGTTGCACAAAACAAGACGTAAAATCACTTTGTGAAAGTCTGTTTGACAGGTAACATGCTCAACAAATATCTGTGGTCTAGCTTCCATCCTACAGGAGAGATTCTTACTTTTTACTTTATTCATTTCTGTATTCCTTGAAATATTAAGTTTGTGTAGCTTTTATAATCATAAAACTCTCTCTCTCTCTCTCTGGAAATTGCATACACAGACATACACAACAACCACTTCAATACTCTGGGAAGTACCAGCCCCCCACCCTGAAACTGTTGTTGTATAAAAGATTTTACGAGTATGAAAAAAATAGTTAAATAGTCTCATTTTGTGACTGACAAAATGAGAACAGATTGCTAGGGGTCAGGATGGGTGTAAGGGAGATGAGTGTGGCTATAAAAGTGTAACAGGAGGGATCCCTGTGGTGGTAGAACTATTCTGTACCTTGCCTGTATCCATGTCAATATCCCAACTGTGATGTCATATTCTGGTTTTGTAAGATATCACCATTGGGGGAAACTGGGTTACGGGTATAAGGATCTCGCCATATTATTTCTTACAACTGCATATGAATCTAAAATTATCTCAGGGCTTCCCTGGTGGCGCAGTGCTTGAGAGTCCGCCTGCCGATGCAGGAGACGCGGGTTCGTGCCCCGTTTCGGGAAGATCCCACATGCCGCGGAGCGGCTGGGCCCGTGAGCCATGGCCACTGAGCCTGCGCGTCCGGAGCCTGTGCTCCGCAAATGGGAGAGGCCACAACAGTGAGAGGCCCGCATAACGCAAGAAAAAAAAATAAATAAATAAAATAAAATTATCTCAAAAGTTTAATTTTAAAATAATAGCAACATTATAACCAACTGAATAAAATCAGAATCCATGAGCCGATACTGGTATAAATAAATGAATAAACAAACAGGAGAGGACAAAGCTTTTCTTCACAGTAGACAGCTAACTAATAAATTTTAAAGAGAAAAGAATTAGAAATTCATCATTTGGCAATCATCAGAGTAATGATTCATTCATCCAAGAAATATCAATGGATGCTAAAACTAGATGTTAAAATTTGATGAGAACAGAATATTTCCTACAAAAAGGGAAAAAATAGTTTTTTTCACAGTGGAGAAACCTGGCAGACTTCATAAGTAATCAAAGTTAACATCACCAGTAATGGAACAAATCAACATCATGTGCTCCTTGACAGGATGCAGTGAGAAGCACCACAGCAGCATTTCTATGTTATTTTGTCAAAGAGAAATAATACGAATCTAATTATGAAGAAATATCAGATGAACCCAGAGTGAGGGACATTCTATAAAATGCATAGCCTGTGATCTTTCAATGACAAGGTCATGTAGGTCAAGAAAAGACTGAGGGACTGTTCAAGATTGAAGATGATTCAAGAGGTATGACAACTAAACACAACCAGTGACCCTCGATTGGATTCCTTTGCTACAAGGAACATTATTGGAAAAACTAGTTAAACTTGAATGCAGTCTGTGAATTAAGTGGCAGTTTATGTCTCAGTGTTAATTTCCTGATTTTGATGGTTGTATTGAAGTTACGAAAGAGAATGTCCTTGTCTGTAGGAATTACACAGTATTCAAGGATGATGGGGCATCACGCTGGCAACTTACAAATGGCTCAGGGAAAATGTTCCATAAATTCAGCAAACTCTTCTGTGAGTTTGAGATTGTTTCAAAATAAAAATTGTTTATTATAAAGAATGCAATTGACAACTTTCTCTGCAGTCTAGAGCTCAAGAGATCGTGGTGTGCCCAATTTCTGCTAACTCTTCCAATGAACATACAGTTAAATGAGGATAGCAATGATTGAAAATGCAATTCTCTAAATCAGGGGTTGGCACACTTTTTCTGTAAAGGGTCAGAGAATAAATATTTTAGACTTCGAGCGACAGTCTCAGCTGCGAGTATTCGATACTGCTGTTGCAGTACAAAAACAGCCATAAACAATGCATAGCCCTAGTGAGTGTGACTGTGTTCCAAAAAAACTTTAATTTATGGACACTGAAATTTGAATTTCATATAATTTTCATGTTTCACAAAATACTCTTTTTTCCCCAATCACTAAAATGTAAAACCCATCTTTAGCTCATAGGTCATATAAAAACAGGTAGATCTGGCCAGTGGGTCTTAGTTTGCCAACCTCTGCTTTAGATTTGTAAATGGATCTTTATCTGCCATATCACTAAACAGATGAGCAGTAAGTAATCTGTGAATATGAGCATTACCAATGTAAGAATTAGAGAATTTTATATGCAGACTATACAAAGTACAGATGAATGTTACGGACTGAATGGTCCCTGCTTTGGAAGACTGATGACCCATTCTGGCTCCTCGTTACACACATTTCTTCTGTCAGATGGTGCCTGAATCCAAGTCCATCCCAACACACAAACTGACCCCAAGCCTTCCTAGGGTTTGGGATCAGGTAAACTCGGTGTTAAAAAATAAGCAATTTGTTTCAAACCGTCTTAATGTAAAAATGTTCTGCTTACCTTGGTATAATGAAGGGACCTGATCGAGGAGCATTTCTACGGTTTTTATCTAGCACAAGTCACACTCTGGGTTTAAGAGGAAGGGCTGGAAACAGTATCAAAATTCCATTTCAGAAGCTGAGAGACTAATGGAATAAATGAGAAAGATGATGAACAATGGAGCCTAAAGCAATAGCTAACTGGGAAGGAGGATGGGAAAACTGATTAAGACTCACTAATTGTATAACGTTAGCTGAGGTTTTGAGTCTAGGAAATTACGGTTTCACTAAAAAAAACCAAAAAACAAAAAACGCATGGTTAATTTGTGAAGAAGACTCCTGAGACATTTGATTTCTAACAATCTTACAACCATCTAAATTTAAAGGTTCAGTATTCTATTCCAAATACTCATTGGGACATTCATTTGAATAACCATTGTTATTTTTCCCATCTTAGCAATATATCGAAAATACAATTAGCATATAACTGGAAGATACCTACCACTTTTCTCCTGTGAGTCATTAAATCTAAAAACATAAAGACCACTGTAACTTTATAAACTCCTAGTGAGAGTTTTCTATAAAGTCATTGTAAAGTTTTTATAAAATCAGTTCTTCCAAAAGAAGCTCACTCTAATAGTTATACTGCTGACAAGTGAACTATTGTCCTAAGATGTTACCTCTCCTTTCATGCAACACAAACCACCACCTCTTGTACACTGGAAAGACTTATGACTCAGGTTGAAAAAAAAGCAGTTCTGAGCTGGGGAAGCATATGGTGGCTTCACCTGTGAGTTGAGAAGCCCTTGTGGCAGGAACAGAAAAGAGGTCAAAGAATGCAGGTACCATGCAGTGCAAGGATGACTCTCCAACAAAAGAAACAGCACTGACCAGAACCACACATTAGCAAACACTGATTGAGAACGATTTATTAAAGTCCAATTAGTACGTTTTTAAATTTCAAATAGTCCACATCTCCTTCAGAATAAATGCGCATGAGTAAAAGTCCAAGTTCATTTGGTTCCCTTCCACTAGAAAATGCTCTGTATTTTGTGTAAAGTCTGTGCAAACACCTTTCTGCTAACCGGTTCCCCATATTCTTTCCAGTTTGGGCACTTGTTGAGTCTGCCCTCTGCTCAAATGGTGACCATGCACTGACCTCCTCCTTCCTAAATAACCATTCTTCTTCTGGACATCTCTCTCTCAAACATACTCCTGACTTTCCCACACCTGCTTTGTGACTGTGACTTTACTGGTTACTTATTACGACAAACTGGTGCAATAGTTAGTTTACCCGGACAGTTGAACAGGTATCACCTCATATGGCGGCATCTGTGGGGGTGACCTTAGAGAATACACAGTATCCAGTCACATACCAACACGCTCAACCCATTTGCTACAGAAGCTATTTAATATGAAGATGATCCTTTATTCACTTGGCATGTTTGATTTCTTTGCATTGTCTTCAATCCTACACTAGAGTTGTGGCTACTGAGAGCTGGTTCATCCATTGCTCAAATGAGATTTGGAATTGCTAGACATATTGAGTAGGGTATCCTGGCTATTTGTGGCAGTTGACTGTTTCTAGTCCATCTTGTTATATAAAAAAGTCACTCTCAACTAAAGTAACCACTGCATTTCCTTTGTAAAAAGGTAATTTAACTGGCTTTCCTCACAATTGCCACCTACATAGGGCAAAAGCAGGAAATCCCCTTTTATAAAAGGTAAGAGCATAAAAAGACATTTCACATTAAAAAAAAAAATCCTTCATGGGAATGTGTCCTAAGTAAATAATCAATTACATGGACAAAGTTTTATGTACATAAAATTTTTGCAACATTATTTATAATAGTGAAAATTAGACATAACCTAAGTAGTCAACAATACAGGAATGGTTAAATAAACTGAGTTGCATCCATTAAATGGAATATTACATAGCCATTAAAATTATGTTTTTGTAAAATTTTTAATGCCATAGGAAAATGTGGCAATTATGCAGTGGAAAAAACAAACTGGTTATAAAACTGTTTACAGTATGATCCCAATTATATAAAAAGGTATATAATATACATATAGGCATACACAGGGGAAAAGCTCTTAATGGTGGTTACTTCTGGGTTGTGATATTATCAGTATTTTTTCTGAATGTTTTATACATTTCTGTATTTTTCAAGTTTTCTACAATGACTATGTATTATAATACAGAAAAACACAGGTCATTAAAAAATTCCTCTGATGAACTAATAATTAGAATGTACTTGGATATTATAAATATGTGGGAACAATACCACTGTGCTCATCTCTATAACTTTTATAGAGTACAACATATTCTTCTGATAATAAACTTACATTCCCTGTTTGTTTTATACATGTTACAACACTTTAATAAAAAAGGTAATATTGTGATTAGATCATTGTTTGTTTCATAACCTAAACAAATACTGGCTTTGACAGCTAGGTTCTTCTATTTCCTAGAAGATTTAAAATTAATACCCTTTTATCTTTTTACGTACAGCATACTGCATACATACATTACATGCATGCTTTCTAAAAAAGTTATTCTAATTTACAGTTTTCCTACATAAGGAAAAAAAATGGAGTTATGATCGTTTAAAAACAGTCTATAGTCTTATCCATCACAAGCATGCTGATAGGCATAAACATGTTTATTAAATGAAATGTATCCTTTAAAAAGAAAAAAAGGGAAGCCTGTATGTAAATGAAGTTGTGGATTCAATTAGTCAGAATTGATTCTGACTTGCACCAAACCACACAAAATCTTTTGAAGACTAGTTAGTGTAGTGTAAATGGACACTCCAGAGTCTGTTTATGAATTCTATTGCAAGGTCTCCACTTTCTACTTTCAAAAGGAACGGGGAGTAGGATGAGGGATGTCCCATAAGCTAATTTTTCAATATACATCAAGTCTTGGTGGGCCTAGGAACAAATACTGCCATGGGTTAGTGTTTAAGCACACGAGTGTGTTTTTCCTCTCTCTCACACCTCACCCTGCCCGTGCCTTTGGGAAGGGGGAGGATGATCATCCCTCAGTAGATGATGGCCGCGTCTCATCTTAGTTAGTTTCCTTTCTAAACCACGGAGTGGTCGTTGCTGTGAACTCCAGCCAGAATAGTGTGGTTGACCGAGGACGCTGAGCGGTCGGACCCTTCCGTGGGGCCGCTGGTGTTCTCACTGCGCTGGCAGCAGAGGATCTGCCTGAAGGTGGCGCTCATCTCCTTGTCGCGGTAGGAGTAGATGATGGGGTTCATGGCAGAGTTGAACTCAGCAAGCAGAAGGAAAAACTTCTCATAGGCCAGAACGTCACACTGTGGGCAGCACACGTCAAGAAGTAACAAGACCAGTCCAGGAGTCCAGCAGATGATAAAGGCACCTGCAAGGACGGGGAGCGGAATTGGGAGGTTGAAAAAAAGAGAGAACAGAAAAATAGAGTGATGAGGCGAGCAACCATGGGGTGACACGATTTCAGTTCAAGGTAAAAATACTGAGCTTCAAAGCCACCGGATCATCATTTGCAATAAAATGTTCATTTTCTGAAATAATCAGAAAAGGTTTTCACGATAAAATGAGCAATTGAATAAAATCTCATTAATTCAGACCTTACTAAAATTGAGTATTTCTGAGACACTAATGATTATTTTGAGCAAAACAGAGTTTGCTAAGCAATTGCGGTATGAAATCAAGACATCCTGCAGTCAGGATACACACTTTGATGCTTATAAAAATAAAGTTTTTGTTTGTTTGTTTTTTGCGGTACGCGGGCCTCTCACTGCTGTGGCCCCTCCCGTTGCGGAGCACAGCCTCCGGACGCGCAGGCTCAGCGGCCATGGCTCACGGGCCCAGCCGCTCCGCGGCATGTGGGATCTTCCCCGACCAGAGCACGAACCCGTGTCCCCTGCATCGGCAGGAGGACTCTCAACCACTGTGTCACCAGGGAAGCCCCAAAATACAGTTTTTAATAGTATAAGGCTGTTTTCAGGCAAAAGCGCTGTGACAAACACCCTTTAACGTTTAGTTGAGGCACAGTTTCTGGATTCGGTTTGACTGGGCTCAAATCCTTGCTTTGCTATTTAACAAACTGGGCGAACTTAGGCAAATTACTTTCCTTTTTTAATTGACGTAGAGTTGATTTACAACGTTGTGTTAGTTTCAGGTTTACAGCACAGTGATCTGGTTTTGTGTATGTGTGTGTGTGTGTGTGTGTGTGTATACACATATATATGTACTCTTTTTCAGATCCTTTTCCATTATAGGTTATTACGAGATCCTGAACACAGTACCCTATGCTACGCCATAGGTCCTTGTGTTGGCAAATTAGTTTTTTACCTCAGTTTTCTCATCTGAAAAACAGAAATGATTCCATTTGCCTCATTTGGGGTGTGGCAGGAGTAAATGAGTGCCCAGAAAATAATCACCCAGTAAATCTTACCAGAAACAGCAGTAGCAATAACATTGTTATTATCTGCTCAGCGGCACGGGCCTGTTTGGAAATAGCAATTTCCAACAGTAAGATGCACATTTACTTTTATTTTAAGTCAACTATCACTTAAAAGGTACTTTTCTATATGCTTTACAAACACTAACTCACTTAATCTGTACCACAGCTGTAGGAGATAGAAACTATTGTCTCATCACCCAGAGGAAGAAACTGAGAAACAGAAAAGTAAAATAACTTGCTCGAGGCCACGGTCCTGGAAAGTGGCAGACCTGAGGCAAACCCCAGAGTTTCTGCTTTTAAAGGCTGGCTCCAGAGTCCATGCTCCAGAAAACACTATGTTATATTCCCACTTCTTAAATTAATAAAATTAAATCTTTTAAACCAAAATTTTATGCTCTAGATGTTTCCTATTTAAATTCTCTTGCATCCCCAACCCTTCTAAATCATGAATATTTTACTATAACTGTAAAGGGATGGACATGCAAATTACGTTCTTAGTTCCAACTTATTTAGCTCCTGAAACCACTCACTTGGCTCCCAGGGGAAATGGAGGTTGTGAAATAGCATTAAAATCTACCACCGTGTTACCCCAGGAATGAGCTGGGGATCCTTGGCTAAGAGAACGTGAACTGGTGGGCACCATCATGTCCCATTACATCTTACTTGATGGGCCCCTTATGTGTAATTAGGCTACACAATGAGCAGACAGGGAGTAGGGATGATCCCAGAAGTGCATTTGAAGCTTTTGATTTAAATGGCACTGGCCTAGGTGAAGGCGGGCTTGGACTGGGGTCGTGAGTTGGACTAGCCTCAAGGAATGAGTTTCACAAAATGTAAACAAACGAGATTTAGTCTCCAAACAGCCCAGTTTTGAATGTGAGCTTTCTTTTTTTGAAACTTTTCAGCAGGGAAATGAAAATAAAGCAAGGAGCAAAGTATCCCCATAAAGCTCTTTGTTCTAAACACAAATGTGTATTGGTTTTAAACTGCTGTTCGCTTTGAAGACTGGCCAAGGTGCTTCATTTTCTAATAAATACAATACCTTAGACTTTGCTTAGGGAGAAAAAAAAAATATTTCAAAAATCAGGAGATAATAGCCAAGGAGCTATTTGAACTTCAAGTAAAAATGTTAATAAAGCATTCATTCCAAGTCCTTGAATTTCCTTGCTTGAAAATCACTCAGAAAGCTAAACATAAAGGAAAATCAAAGGAATGCCTCTTGAGTTTCAGAAATAATGCATTATTCATTGAGAAGCTGGGAAGGGAATTATTCTCAGGATGGAAAATGCTTGGATGGAAAATACATGGTCCCATTATTCCATTTACTTGGAAACTAAAAACATGCAGGCCCTTCATGAATGGGAGAGCATTCTTTCAAGTCTCCTTTCCCCTTTCTTTTATCAAAGCTCTAGTTGAGCTCAAATTCAGAGCTTGATTAGATACCAGCAACATGCATCTCAATAGATTTATTTTAAATAACACGATCTTTTTCTCCTTCCCGGCAGCAGAAGGGAAGACCCTTATTCTCATGGATTTGCTCAAGCTGTCTGACTTTCTTCAAAAGTGGCAGAATTCAAATACAGTCATTTGTTGTTTATAACTTCTTCTAATTTTTAAATTCAAAAAGAGCAAGATCTTTGCGATAAAACCCTTGATGGTCACAGGAACTAGCCCAGTGGGCCTTATCAACCCTGCAAGCAGCCTAGATTAGAGGCAGGAAGTGGGGACACCATAGCCTGACCAGGAGCTAATACACATGGGTGCTTCACTGAGGAACTCCTCTCCCTTCTTCTTCATTAAAAGGAACTGCTTTTAGTAGTACTATAATCAGGCCCAACCACACTGTCCCAACACCCTGTGTTTGGATCTTCGAGACCTGACTGAGTAATTTAAGAGACTCATAGTACAGGCCTCAAAAATCAACATCTAAAATCAATCATACAGAGCTTTTCCTTCTCCCTTCCCCTCTCTCTCACAGAGGTGCCCGAGGATCAAACTGACCAAAAGCTGAAGGTGGACTACCTCAGTGGAAAATGGGCCCTGGAAAATTCCAAGGTGATTAGGCTTTTAAACAATCGTGACTGAACATTATGAGATCAACTTTGCTCAAATCATGGATTTACCACCAAGTTTCTAAAAACAAAAACTACAACCAAGCCCCTTTAGTAAAAAGGAGTCAACCATAATCCAGTTGGGTCACAGAACTTGAGATGTGCATTGGGGACCCTTGATCTGTAACCTGTGGACAGATTACCAACACATAATCTGTAGAGACTCAAGTGCACACCTATAAGGCAGGTTGATAAGAATGAAAAGAACCTCCATCTCCACATCTGTAAAGTGGAGAAATAATAGCTCTCTGCCTACTCCATAGGGTGTGGCGAGGATCAAATTGAGATAGACGTGACATGTAAAAGCCCTCTACACACTGCACGTCTACCTGACTACACTACCTATTGCCATCATGGGAAGCATAATGTGTGTAGGCTGGTGTAGCACAGTTCCAGGGCAGATTTCTTCCAGGGCAAAATGTGGAAGCATGTTTTGGACCATGAAGATCTGGCATTTCAAAAAGTTCTGAGATGACACCATCCTAATGATAAGAGATTCCTAGGACTTGCAGTTGGATGTGACAAGAATAACAAGAAGGAAAAGAGAGGAACAAAGAGAAGCATGGAAGCCCCAAATCCTTTTGGAGTTTCTCATGGGTCAGCTCAGTACCTACCAAGATGATGAATAAGATAATGTGGTACTCAGTAGGGACAGTCCTCTAGGTAGTTTGTATATTTCTGGAACATTTCTGATGGACGAACCCCCACAGATCAAGGCATAAAACCAAGGCTGGTATGCAATAACATGAAAGAAAGAGGAAGCACAAGTAGCTTGTGGTTGCTTACTGTAAAGTCAGAAGCAGAAGTAGCAGAAGATAAGATGTTCAAGACCGTGAAGACCTTGTACATAGCCTGGCAAAGATATTTGAAATTTTTCCTGTCTAGCATTTATTCTCAGCCCCAGCCACATACTACAATAGCCTGCAGAACATATAAGAAAAAATGATCTTCATCTATCCTTCCTCCCATGAGAATTTAATTTCATTGGCCTCATTGGCTAGAGTCTCATTTAATATACAACACTGTAAGAGAAGGGAAGAAGAAAATGATGTGGATAAAAATAAAGGCAAAACCATCAGATATTTCCAAATTCCAGAGGTGAAAGAAGAGCCTGAACACAAGCAGTGGCAATGGGAGAAGAGAGGTATGAAAGGATTGGAAAAGTATTTAGAAGATGGACTGCATGGAATGGATGAGAAAGATATGAGTCTAGAATGATTCCTAGATGTTCCATTTGGGTGACAGAAGGATGGTGCTACCTTCCACTGAAGGAAAAAATACAGGAGAAAGTATCGGCTGGTGTTTTCTGAGGGTAGTTGAGGAGAACACAGATGGTGCCCTAGATTTTATTTATCTTCAGCTTGAGGTACCTGCATGACTTCAGATGGAGAGGCCTTAAAGACACCCTGATGGGCTCATGGCAATTTGAGTCCTTTAAGACTGTTTCTCAGTGGGTTGAACAAGAGTGGTTACATTTGGCATTATTTGCCAATATTGCAAGTAACATGGGGCGGAGAATAATCAAAATATATCTGTGGTTTGGAATAAATAGCAGAAGTTGCTCTTCCTCGAGCGAGCTTCAGTCCTCTTTCTTCTACATCTGTCAAACCAGTCTGTGAGAGCCCCGGTGCCCACGAAGATGGAAGGAGAGATGCTGGAATGTGGACGCAAAAAGCAGTGAGGAAGGAGGTTGTTTTGGAAGAAGGGGTCACAGCTGCAGAGCAAGATCAGATTACCACACCTTCCCTGAAATCTACACACCCCCATCAGCTGAATAATGCTTACCATCTGGTCTCACAATTAGAGGCTTTTTTCTAGAGGGAC